GGCTAATTTTTGCACTTTTAGTAGAGACAGGGTTTTACCATGTTGGCCAGACTGGTCTTGAACTCCTGACCTCAAGTGATCCGCCCACCTTGGCCTCCCAGAGTGCTGGGATTACAGGCCTGAGCCACCCCACCCAACCCAGGGGACGTGTTTTATCTCCCTGGGCAGGATAGCTACAAATCTGGAAACGCTGACACCGATTATGCCTGCCCTACAATGAAACAGGGAGACAGACCCCTGGAGCTGGGCCTGATATTCCAGGCCAGGCCTTTTCAGTGACCTGAGCCAAATATTCCTGGGTCTTCTTCAGCCACCTGGACTTGGGCTTTGGCTCCTCCCTCCCAGTTCATCCATCCCTATTTGTGCCGCTGCAGCCTGCCCTGCTTTCTCACTTTGCACTTGCCATTCCCACGGCCTGGAAGCCCCTTCCCAGCAAACTCCTTCCCATTCCCCTGAGTTCAGATCCCACCTTGTCCTGAAAGCCTGGACAGATGTGGGTCCTGATTCTCTCAGACACACATCCCATTTCTTTTCCCACATTCCCATCACACTCAGTCGGTTTCTTTGGGAAACTTTCACTTGCTAGGTCCTAGCAGCCTAAAAGATTTTGTCAGGCTTTATTTGCCATTGTCCTATTAGGAAAATAGGATTTTTTCCCCCTACTCTCCAATAAAAAAATGATGTTTTAACTGTTAACGTAAGTTTTCTTTTTTTTTTTTTTTGAGACGGAGTCTCGCTCTGTCGCCCAGGCTGGAGTGCAGTGGCCGGATCTCAGCTCACTGCAAGCTCCGCCTCCTGGGTTTACGCCATTCTCCTGCCTCAGCCTCCCAAGTAGCTGGGACTACAGGCGCCTGCCACCTCGCCCGGCTAGTTTTTTGTATTTTTTAGTAGAGACGGGGTTTCACCATGTTAGCCAAGATGGTCTCGATCTCCTGACCTCGTGATCTGCCCGTCTCGGCCTCCCAAAGTGCTGGGATTACAGGGTTGAGCCACCGCGCCCGGCCAACGTAAGTTTTCAATCAATGCCTGCCCTTACCCCAGACATTCTGAAATACTTCCCTGGAGAGGTATCTTTCCTACCCTTGATTGAAAATCTGCTGCAAAACATCCCTCATTGATTTGGTAAATATCCACACAGCCCCCTCGGTAGAAGACGTCACACTGAGCAATGGACAGACAAATTATAAAACTATTATAATTGCCCCTTCACCTGTATAAGCTAGGAGATTTCAGGGAAGGATCCTGCCAAACTGTTTAATCAGCATTACTCTGGAAGCTGACATCAGAGGGATGGAAGGGGGACTTTTCCTTGGTACTTTATATCATTTCAAAGGGACAGCATTTATGAGTGTTTTTTACTCTCTTTCCTGGGCTTCTTAGTATCTTTCAAGTGGAACATTTCTTAGTGGCTCACTGATGTGCTTGCTCTACTGCAGGACGGGGAGCCCCTCAGCGGCAAGGATGGCTGTGACTCACTCCTAAGTCTTCAGCTTCCTGCCATGGCCTAACACACAGGAGGCCAGGAAATGTTTGTGGAATGACTGCAGGATCAGAGCTTAGCAGGCATGAGAAGTGGACTGGGGGGTGGAGGGCATGAGATGCAGCCTGGGACAGCCATCCAAGCCTAGGAGCTGGGGAAGGCTAGAGCAGTGGGTAGGTAAGTCAGGAAGAGATGGTCCCTCTGAAGCCTGGGCCCGGCATGGTGCCCATAGGAGGTGCAGTTGTAGAAATGATGTCAAAGGGCAACTCAGGTTGTGAGAAAGAATTCCCAGAAAACAAACTTGGCCCAGCTTCGCACTTGTTGAGGACAGAAAGGGAAAGATCTGAGTTGAGGGGAGCTGGGGAAGGAGGAGTGAGAGGAAAGGAGGAGGGGTTTAAGGAGACCTTGACAATCAGGGCCTGGGCTGGATGGCAGGTGGTGGAGGCTCAGTGTGCTGCTGCTGCGTCCCTGGGGAGCTGGGGGAGGTGGCTCTAGGAGTGCATAGGCAAGAACGTCTGCTGCTTACAGAGGTGGTGGCCTGGCTGGGTCTGTGCTAGGCTGCCCTGTTCCGCCTTCTATCCTCTATTCTTTGTTCCTTCAACTGATATTTCCTCGGACAGATTCAGGCACAGCTGGAGGGAGGGAAGTCATCATGACTTCCTAGAGGTGTGGACTCCTGGGCTGGGGCTTAGATGAAGAGGAACTGTCCAGGTAAAGGAAGGGAGCAGACTTCCACAGAAAAGAGAGAACAAGAGCAGGGCCACTGAGATGTGAAAGAGCCCAGCCCCAGTGAAGAGCCCCAAGCCCTTGGCGTTGCTCAGTAAAGGGGTGTCTATGTTATGAGGCAAATGGAACACCTGCTGCTGGAGTCTCTGGTGGCCGGGGTGGGAGGGGCTAGAAACCATGTTCCGTGAAGGACAGCTAAAAGCAGCAGCCGCGGATCATGTGGTTAGACCCCTGGACTTCCAGGCCGGCTCTGCCATTCCTGCTCACATTATAATCTGGGGCAGGTCACTTTGCCCCTTGGAGCCTCAGCTGTGGGGAGTATTCATGGGTGCAAAGAGGCCATCACTGGCATGGTGCTTGGAACAAAGGTGGCACCCAACAGACTAAGTTACTGTTACTTGGAGAGTCAGGTATTGAAAGGCTATGTTTGGGCCGGGCACTGTGGCTCATGCCTGTAATCCCAGCACTTTGAGAAGTCAAGGAGGGCAGATCGCTTGAGCTCAGGAGTTTAAGACCAGCCTGGGCAACATGGCAAAACCCTGTCTCTACAAAAAAATATGTATATATAAAAAAAATCAGTTGGGCGTGGTGGCATGCACTTGTAGTCCCAACTACTCAGGAGGCTGAGGTGGGAGGATTACTTGAGCCCAAAGAGGATGAGGCTGCAGTGAGCCATAATCACACCACTGCACTCCAGCCTGGGCAACAAAGCAAGACCTCATCTCATTAAAAAAAAAAAAAGGCTACATCTACAAGAGCCATCACGGAGCCGTGGGCCCAGTTTACAGAGTGTCTCCAAAGAACCAGGCCCAGTGGAAGGAAGTTCTAAGGAGGCAGGTATCAGCTCAGCTTTAAGGAAAGTCCCAAATGGAAGCATTGGTCAAGAATGGAACAGGCCATTATTGGGGTGAACCGTATCAAGGGAACAGCCTCACCAGGGCTGGACAGCTCCCTGCATGGACAGCATCTATATCTAGGGTTCTGTGGAAGCAGCTGGATGGAGTAAGAGAAAAGCCTTTTGTGGAGCACTCACTGAGGGAAACGCTAGGCTAAGGGAAGTTTAACAGGTGGCTTTGCTGTAGGGCTTCCTAGGACCTTCACTGCCCTGAAACGTGGCCACAACTCTAAGGCTTGTGGAAACCAGACAGACAACATGAATGGGTGACGTGGGAAGGGTTGGACAGGAGTGGGCTGGAGACAGCTGCCCTTTGGAAGAGGAAGCCTACTCAGCTCCCACTCTGCTCCTCTGGCTGTCCTTATGGGAACTCTATTGGCCACTGTTAGGGGTTAAATTGTGTCCCCAAAAAGATATGTGGAAGTCTTCACTCCTGGTGCCCGTAAATGTGACTTTATTTGGAAATAGGGTTGCAGATGTAACCAAGTTAAAACGAGGTCATCGGGGTGGGCCCTAAACTAATGACTAGTGTCCCTACAAGAAAGAAAAATTTGAATACAGAGACAGGTGCACAGAGAGAAGATGGCCATGTGACAACAGAGGAGGCAGGGATCAGAGTCAGCCATCTACTAAGCTACGAAACACCAAGGATTGACAGCATCATCGGAAGCCAGAAGAGTCAAGGATGGATTCTCCCTGGAAGCCTTCAGAGAGAGCATGGCCCTGCCGACACTTTGAGTTTGGACTTGTGGTTGGAGACAATATGTTTCTGTTGTCTTAAGCCACCCAGTTGGTGGTATTACGTTATGGCAGCCCTAGGAAACTGAGACAGCCACTAATTCATGCTTAACTCTGGACTAGCAAAAGCTCCAGAGTTGGGCAGGTGATGTAGAACCTCCTAACTCATAGATCCCAGGCCCCTTTTCTTGAAAGAGCATCTTGTTGGATGAGCCAGGGGACACAACGAGGGTACGGCACTCATTCTCAGCCTTTTGTTTTGTATCCACATGGTACCATTCACGGGAGTGACTCCTGGTTTCCTTACCTGTAAGTTGAGGACAACAATCTCAACCTCCCAGGAGGCTGTGAACTCCCAGCGAGATGCATAGCAAGCACTGCCCCCAAGACACCACCAGAGGAAGGATTATGATGTGGGATATTCCTTTCTGTAAGCCTCACTTTACCCTACTGTAAGATGGGACAGCAACATCTCCCAAAGCTTCCTAGGGTTGCTAGGAACTGCCTGGCATGTGGCTGGTGGTCAGAACAGTCCATGTGGACCAGTCAGCCCCTTCCCGCACACTCACTGTTTCTGCATGTCCTTCGCTGCAGGGAGCCTGGTCCCCAGTGGCTGCCCTTACCTGTGCTGTGAGCTGGATGGGTTGGGACAAGGTGAGCTGTGGGGTCCCAGGGGGCTGGCTGGCAGGCTGTGGTGGTGGCAGGTCACCCCCCCCAGAGGAAGCTGGGGGCTGCGAGGTCGAGGAGGAGGCAGAGGAGGAAGAGGAGGAGGAAGTAGAGGAGGAGGCGGAGGCAGCGGCGGCGGCAGCGGCGTTAGCAGCAGCGGCGGCACTGGACTGCTGCACGGCGGCGGCCAGGAGCTGGGCCTGGGCTTGCTGCAGGAGGAGCTGCTGCTGAGCTGGCATCAGTGCCGTGAGCTGTGGGGTGTCGGGGACAGCAGGAGTCGGAGCAGGGGGTTGAAGAGGAGCAGAGAAGGCAGAGAGGGGTTAGTGCCTAAGCCAAGCAAGTAAGGGGACAAGACCTCCTGGAGGACAGAAGAGGGCAAGAGGCAGGTGTGAGAGAGTGGCCATGGCCTTGGTGGAACAGTTCATCCACTAGCCCTGTAACAGATGAGGGGTGGCCGGTTTGTCCCCTCGTCCCCATCCTTCCCTGAGTACTTACCCCAGCTAGCTGGCTGCCCGTCAACATGAGTTGGGCCTGGGGCAGATGAGGCTGGGTCGGCTGGGGGGGCAGGGGTGCTGCTGGGGCTGAATCGCCACTGGGGTCTTCAGCCTTGATCTGGGGGGGAGAGAGGCAGGGTCCGGGACCCCAGAATGTTAAGTGGAGGCCAGAGAGAATGCCCACCTGTGAACCAAAGAGAGGGCACATGTGTGGCAATGGCAATCAGGCTGGCACAGGAGGAGGAGACTGGGGTATGGATATGAGGGTGTGGCCTGTGGTCCTGCACTGACCGCTGGGAGCTTCAAACCACTCCTCTAGCCTCAGTTTCCTCATCAATCAGATAGGGCTAACACAACACCTGCACCCAAACTCCCTACAGGAGAAGTCCCCTTTGCAGAGTGCTTTTCCACTCCTGAGAGTCAGTTTCCCTGTCTGTAAAATGGAAAATAGTGGCCGGGCATGGTGGCTCACACCTGTAACCTTAGCACTTTGGGAGGTCGAAGTGGGTAGATCACTTAAGGTCAGGAGTTCAAAACCAGCCTGGCCAACATGGTGAAACCCCATCTCTAAAAAAAAAAAAAAAAAATAGAAAAAAAGGAAAATAGTCCCACTGGGCACCTGGGAGGTCAAATAAGCGGGTTCTGGGTCCTACACCCTTCATCTGTATCACACAGAGGTGCATCTCTCTTGCTTTTTTTTTTCTTTTTTTTTTTTTGAGACAAGATCTTGGTCTGTTGCCCAAGCTGGAGTGCAGTGGCATGATCACAGCTCACTGCAGCTTCTACCTCCCAGGTTCAAGCAATCCTACCACCTCAGCCTCCCGAGTAGCTGAGACTACAGGTGCCTGCCACCATACCTGGCTAATTTTTAAATTTTTCTGTAGAGACAGGGTATCATTATGTTGCCCAGGCTCAAGCTCCTAGGCTCAAGTGATCCTCCTGCCTTGGCCTCCCAAAATGTTGGGATAACAGGCATAAGCCATTGCACCTAGCCAGGTGCATCTCTTATTTGTCCAATGAAGTAAGACTTTGTTGGAAGAAAAGGTTTTCAGGTATAAGAAAAACCACCACCTTGGAACCTGGGCTACAAACTCAGAAGCTCACAGAAATGAGCACAAATGAATGACAGGAGTAGGGGTGGATGGAGGTGGGCTGGAGAGAGTGCCTGCCTGAGTGGAAGTCTTATCTGGCTCCTACTCAGCTCCTGCTGGCCACTCTTTTCAAAATCTAGAACAAAAATACTGGCAGAATAAGCAAAGCACAGCGTTTGTCCTGCACTGTGGACAAGCCAGATGTAGCCCAGGAAATGCCAGGCTTCAGCCTCTGCCCCTGAGGTCCGCAAAGCCTCTCCATGTCTCTCTGAATATGATATGGATACATCTTGCACCATACACACAGAACAGACCACCAGCATGGAGCCACCCTGGCCTCTTCCGCTCCTAGGTAAAAAGCCAGACAACAGCAGCTGTTGGCTGAAAGGCCTATTGGCTGAAGCACACACAGTGGTGGGAGAAGGCATGGCCTGATGGATTACATACCCTCAGGCCTAAAGTGGACAGTGGGATCATCCTTCAGCCTGATAGCCCAACACCATTTTGTAAAAGGAAGCCCAGAGAGGGAAAGCAACTTGGGCAAAATGACACAGCGTGTTGGCAGGGGGGTGATATTTGAAATGTGGACACAGAGGCCAAGGAAAGGCCAAATAATAGACAGTGAATGGCATGTCCCAAATTATGGAATATAAGCATTAGAAAGTTTAAGAGCTACAGAGGCCAAGTGTGGTGTAATCCCAGCATTTTGGAAAGCTGAGGCAGGAGGATTGCTTGAGGCCAGGAGTTTGAGACTAGCCTGGGCAACAGAGCAAGAACTGTCTCTTAAAAAAAAAGAGAGAGAGAGAGAGAGTTAAAAAAAAAAAAAAAAAAGAAAAAGAAAGTGTTGTAGAGATGCAGCATGAAATGATACTGAGTATGAGAAGTCAGGGTAGTGGCTATCCCTGGCAAGGGTATTAAGGGCCTCTGGAAGGTTGGTCATGCTCTGCTTCTTGATCTGGTGCTAGTGACATGGGTGTGTTAAGTTTCTGAAAGTTCGCAGAGTCATACATTGAATATCTATGTGTGTTCTTAATGTGTATCATATTTTAATACAAAGTTTTTTAAAAAACAGGCTGAGCATGGTGGCTCACCCCTTAATCCCAGCACTTTAGGAGGCTGAGGCAGGAGCATCACTTGAGGTCAGGAGTTCAAGACCAGCCTGGCCAACATGGTGAAACCCCGTCTCTACTGAAAATACAAAAATTAGCCAGGCGTGGTGGCACACACCTGTAATCCCAGTAACTCAGGAGGCTGAGGCAAGAGAATCACTTGAACCCGGGAAGTGGAGGTGCAGTGAGCCGAGATTACGCCACTGCACTCCAGCCTGGGCAACAGAGCGAGACTCCGACTCAAAAATTGCTTGAACCCAGGAGGCGGAGGTTGCAGTGAGCCGAGATCATGCCATTACACTCCAGCCTGAGTGACAGTGCGAGACTCCGTCTCAAAAAAAAAAAAAAAAAAAAAAAAAAGTTTTTTAAAAATAATGTTGAATGCCATGGTAAGTACACTATTCCCTTTTCAGTGCTTTTTCATTGTTTCTGGTTATCTTACAGTCTCTGACTGGTGCTTGAATGTCTTTATCATCTCTCCAATACTAGCTAATCTCCACTTTTATTTTAATTTAATTTTTTTTTAGACAGGGTCTTGCTGTGTCACCCAAGCTGGAGTGCACTGGCACCATCATGGCTCACTGCAGCCTCGACTTCCCAGACTCAAGCGATCCTCCTGCCTCAGTCTCAAGTAGCTGGGACTACAGGCGTGCACACCCAGCTAATTTTTGTATTTTCTGTAGAGACAGGGTCTCACTATGTTGACCAGGCTGGTCTTGAGAACTCCTGAGCTCAAGCAGTCTACCCACCTTGGAATCCCAAAGTGTTAGGACTACAGGCTTGAATCACTGCACCTGGCCTAATCACCTTTTTTTTTTTTTTTTTTTGAGCTGGAGTCTCCCTCTGTTGCCCAGGCTGAAGGGCAGTGGTGCGATCTCGGCTCACTGCAACCTCTACCTCCTGGGCATAAGCAATTCTCCAAAATGCCTCAGCCTCCCAAGTAGCTGGGATTACGGGCACTCACCACCATGCCCAGCTAATTTTTGTATTTTTAATAGAGTTGAAGTTTCATCATATTGGCCAGGCTGGTCTCAAGCTCCTGACCTCAATCCGCCAGCTTTGTCTCCCAAAGTGTTGGGAATACAGGCATGAGCCACCGTACCCAGCCCTAATCTCCTCTTTTAATAAGCAGAGAACAGGCCTCTGAGGTTTAGACCCTTCGGCACACAAGAGACTCTGGGTAAATTTTAATAATCATCGTATTTATTTCCGTGGCAAGTGATTCTGGTTTTCCATTTGTGAAATTTCCATTTAAAAAACATTTATTTAAAAAGCTGTCGAAAAGCAAGCCAGTTCATGAGCTGGTAATTGTTGAAGCTGATTGATGGCTATCTAAAGGGTTTATTTTCATTATACCCTTCCCCTATTTCTGTATCCACTTCACATTTTCCATAATAAGGTGTTTTTTTAAAAAATTGAGCCAATTAACAAAATTATATGTAAATAGTTGCACACAGTGGTCTTATGCCTGAGACCGTGACAGGAGCACATGAATCACTTCAGTTAGGGAAAGACTGAGACAGAAGAGATGGAGAGAAGCTGAGCGGCAAAGGCCAGAGAAACAGGGCGAGTTGTGGACAGAGCCCGAGGCCAGGAAGGGGAGGGAGAAACCTTCTTTCCCTTGGTCCCACTGGCATCCCCAAAAGAAGGAAGCCTGCTGCCAGTCTGAGAACAGAGTGCAAAGATCTGATTCAACTGAGGACAGGGTGGGGGCAATGGATAGACGCTCTGCTCTGAGGGCTAAGGCAAGAGCCAAACCTGCCATCAGAGGGTCAAGGAGGTCAAGATCGAGAGCCTGTCTCCACTGGATCCCATTCAAAGTGCTCAGCACAGAAGCAGGACACCCATTCACAAAGCACTTTTGTCCTCCCCTCTCATGGTGGCAGGGGGTACACCAGACATGGAGGCAACCACAGAGGCCATCCCATCCGACTGCCCCCTCCCCCCTGACCAATGATACCGAAGAGGAAACTGAGAGGCCCAGAGAGGGGAAGTGACTTTCCCATGGTCACAGAGCAAAGCTGTAGCAGGGTGGGGAGCAGTTCCCAGCCTCCCACCCCATCCCTCAGCCACCGCTGGTCAGGGTCTGGAGTCCTGCTCACACCTTCTCTGCCCCCACGTCCAGTGCCACCTTCAAGCCTCTGGACCTGCCTGCTACCCCTGGACCAGGATGGAGGGTGGAGACTGGGGCCCAAGCAAACCCCAAGAAGCCCAGAATGCCAGGCACAGGGCCCCATCTGGATGTGGAATTTGCACCGCCTGGCTGCTTCCGGCCTCCCTGTCATTCTCTCCTCCTGCATCCCTACAGCTATCCTCAACTGGTGCCAGCCCCCCACCCCCACCTCAGCTGGCCACTAAATGTGTATATTGGGGGACAGGGGGTGGTGCAGGCCCCTGTTGGGTCAGGGAAGTTGGGATGGGGGCGGGCCTTTGGCTTCCTGTTGTTCATCGCCCTGGGGCTCTGGGGGGGATTTCCCTGGCCACCCCCACCCCCTAGGGAAGGGGAAGGAGCCTGCGTGAGTCACAGGCCTGGGGTGGGAGCCCAAGAGTGAGAAGGGGCGGGAGGAACCTCGTTACCAAGGTACCAAGGCTCAGTGCTCTCTCAGCCCTGGGACTGAGGCAGGCCTCCTGAGGACCCTCTTCCAAGCGCTGCCCACTTCCCTGGCTGTTCCGACAGGTGCTTACCTTTGTGCTGGGGCCAGTTGGGGACACAGAGAATGGGGAGGTCTTATTCTGGGGGTTCTGCAAAGAGAAAGTAGGGGCAAGGGGATGGGAATAGTGCAGTGAAGCAGCTTCTGACCACCCCAGCTCCCTGTCCTCCTACCACAGGTGGCACACAGCCCCCTCTGACCCCTCTCCCCATTCCTCCCCATCCCCTCCCGCTTATCCACTCCCTCCTAACCTGATGATTAGTGTCTGGTCCATTTCTTTCAGTGTCTGCAAAGAGAGGGAAAGGATGTGCTGTCATCAGCCACCCCCACCACACCTATCCCCTCCCAGCCCTCTTCCCATCTGCCCCACTTCCCCTGCCCACGGTGACCCCTGCCCCCCTGCTCCCTGCCCACCCACCTGTGTGCTCTGATGGGGAGTCCAGACCTTGCTTCTCGGCCTCCAGGGGCTTAGACATTCTTATTTCTGGGGACAGAGAAGGAATGGAAGTGGGGTGAAGGAGGGGAAGCCAGGAGGGCTCTTGGGCCCCCGTTCCACCACACTCCCCAAGCCTTTCCCCCAAATTCCCCCCTTACCCCCAGCCACCTTGGAAGTGTCTCTTCCCAAGAGACATGCCCTCCGTTCTGGGCCTCTGCCCTCCTCTGGCAAGATGAGACACAGCCCTCAGGCCTTGGGGGATCTGGCCTTATCCTTTTACTCCTCCAGAAAGTGACAGAGGGGTGTTATCCACAGTGTAGCATAGGGCAGGGCAGGAGGTGGAAGGTGGTCATGAGAAGGTATCAGCTGCCCAGAAGGAGGCTGGTGACGTCCCAAAGGAGGGAGAGCAGCCTTGGGCCTCCTCCTGCGGTGGGCCGCCCAGGCTCCCGTCCTGCCCTACCAGGTTTCGGGTGAGACATGTTTTCCACTCTGAGTGGGGCCTCAGAGATGTGATGGGGCTGCAGCGTCCCCAAAGGAGGCAGTTGTCAGATCTCTGAGTGTGTGTGATTCAGCCACCCTCTGGCCCTCTCCCCACCCCACCACTTTCCCCGTCCACATCTCACTCCCACCTGGCCTTTCTTCTTATGTGTAGCACACCGGCCTAGCAGATCCACCCTGATCCTCTGTAACCCCAGCCCCATTCAGCTCTACCCCTGAGCTTGTCCTCCAATCGAAACCTGATCTGGGACTTCAGGCTTGAACCCTCAAGCCTCAAGTCCACCCCTGTAATACAACCCCCTTCTATAGCTCCCTAGGCCCAGAAAATGAAAGGAGGCAGCCAAGGGAGGGTGGCAGGCAGCAAGCTGGGCACCAGGAGACATAAACCCACGGAGACAAATGCCTGTCCTCAAAATGCTCCGATACTTTTCACAGAAAGGCGAGTGCTCACCAGTGCCAAGCACAGAGCTAGATATGACTCACAGCTCACATTAGTGGTTAGTGCTAATATTACGTTTTACAGAGGAGGAAACTGAGGCTCCAAGAAAGGATGTCGCCTCCCCAAAAGCACGGCAAGACTGTCGACGTGCCCTGACTGGACCCCTGGTCTTCATGACTCCAGGGTTCCTACTTCTAATCGGATCCACTCTAGTCTAATGGCCTCCAGTCCTGACTTCCAGCCATCTCATCTCCAACAGTCCCCTTGCCCAAGCTCATCCTGAAACTGAATCCAACCCTTCCTGGTCGTCGACCCCAGCACAAATCTGGGCTTCAGCCTAACCCATCCTTAGTCCACTTACTCACCTTGAATCCCAAGTTGTGCCCAGATGGTTTAAGTCCTTCATCTGACCTTGACTCCCAACTGTACTAAGACCCTGTCCCTGATCCAAACTCTTCCCACAACTCACTCCAAAATCCCTACCTAAACCATGACCCCACCCCTACTAAAGGAGCTGTCCAGCTCTAGTGTGCTCTGCACCAAGATACTTAAAGAAGACAGCTAGGCCAGGTACAGTGGTTCACGCCTGCAATCCCAGCACTTTGGGAGACTGAGGCAGCCAGACCTCTTGAGCCCAGGCATTCAAGATCAGCCTAGGCAACATGGAGAAACCCCATCTCTACTAAAAATACAAAAATTAGCTGGGCACGGTGGCATGCACCTGTAGTCCCAGCTATTGGGGAGGCTGAGGCAGGAGAATCGCTTGAACCCAGGAGGTGAAGGCTACAGTGAGCTGTGACTGCACCACTGCACTCCAGCATAGGTGACAGAGTGAGACCCTGTCTCAAAAAAAAAAAAAAAAAAAAGAATGGAGCTAAAGTGAGGGATAGGAAATAGGAAGAACTCAGCAACTGCAAAAAAAAAAAAAAAAAAGTCTAGAAATCTTGCAATTGAGGATTATTCAATGTGAAATGCTGCTTGAGTTTTAAATTCCTAATTAAAAAGACAGGTCGTGCATTGCTAGTAGGAGCGTAAATCAATACAAGCACCATTCAGAAAAGTTGAAAAGATGCCCTCTCCCTAAGATGCAGCACGTCCACTCCTGGACATCTGCCCAAAAGAAACACGTGTCCTGCCCATCAAAGGACATAGGCAGAAATGCTTCTGCAGTCTTTTCATAACAGCCCCAAACTGGAAACAGCCCAAGGGGCCATCAACAGGTGAATGGATAAACAAAATGTGGTATGTCCATACAATGAAATACGCCACAGTAATGAAAAAGAACAAACTCCTGCTTCATACACATGGCCGAAGCTTGGAGACATGAGGCTGAATGAAAGATGCCAAACACAAAGGCAGACGTAATTTATGATTCCAATTACAGGAAATTCAAAAACAGGCAAGCTGATAGCAGATGATCACGGTCAGATGAGTGAGCACCTTAGGGGTACAGACTGGGAAAGGGCATGAGCCTGCAGCAGGTGAGAAAGGATCTTGTTTGTTGGTTACAGGGTCCTTACATACACAAAAATTCATCAAGCTGTACACTTAAAATTTGAACACTTTATATACATTGTTTTAACATCAAGAAAACATTTAAAAGCTAAAAAGCAAAAAAGCCAGCACACAGTCCCATTAAATGCACACTGCACCATGGCAGGTAGATAACTTGAGGCCAGGAGTCTGAGACCAGCCTGGGCAACAGAGTGAAATCCCCGTCTCTCCAAAAAATAAAAAAGTTAGCCGGGCATGATGGTGGTGGGCACCTGCAGTCCCAGCTACTCAGTAGGCTAAGATGGGAAGAATCGCTTGAGCCCAGGATGTTGAGGCTACAGGGAGCCGTGATTGCACCACTGCACTCCAGCTTGGATAACAGAGCGAGACTCTGTCTCAAAAAAAAAAAAAAAAGATGCAGACTGCTGAGGGTGGGGGTGGGGAGAGGGTGCCCAGGATGCTTCCAGAGCTCAGGTCCTGTTTCCTGGCCCTGGGGACAGGGCATTAAATGGCTACTGATACAAGATAAAAGAAGGACAAGAAGGGAGCTGGGCGGCAAGTGTATCCTGCAGTAAAGGAGGGAATCCTGCCTGATCCTAGCTCTAATTCACCCAGACCTTTAGCCCTACTTCAGACAACCACTAACTTTAACCTGGTCCTAAATCCCACCCCTCCTAGCATTCCTAAAACTGCAGCCCCAGCCTCCTCTGGCCCCCTTCCCTCCAGCGGAGCTCCACATTGCCTCAGGGCAATCCTTTCCTGGCTCCTCCCTATCTCCTGGAGAAACAACCAGGCTGATGGGCCTGGCCTCCAGGGGCTGGCCCACCACCCTGTACTGCTCTTCTCTTGCAGCTCATGCACCGTGCTCTTCAACCACGTCAAGCATCTCCCCCTGCTTGGGGGTTCTGCTTGACAGACAGCAGACTGTGCAGGTTCCACACTCTCAGCTAGCTGGGCATCCCTCTCCCACCTACAGATCAGGCCAGGCTCAGACCCCACTGCCAGCCCAGCAAGTCCACACTCATCCTTAGCCTCTGCTATGGGCTGAGTTGCATCTCCCAAAATTCATACACTGAAGTCCTAATTCCTGGTACCTCAGAATGTAATTGCATTTGGAGATAGGGTCTTTAAAGACATAATTAAGGTAAAATAAGGTCATTAGCATGGACCTTACTGCAATCTGACTGGCATCCTTATAAGAAGAGGGGGCCGGGAGCATGGCTCATGCCTGTAATCCCAGCACTTTGGGAGGCCAAGGTGGGCAGATCACCAGTTCAGGAGTTCGAGACCAGCCTGACCAACATGGTGAAATCCTATCTCTATTAAAAAGACAAAAATTAGCCGGGTGTGGTGGTGTGCACCTGTAATCCCAGATACTCAGGAGGCTGAGGTAGGAGAATCACTTGAGCCCGGGAGGCGGAGGTGGCAGGTGGCAGTCAGCCGAGATCACACCACTGCACTACAGCCTGAGTGACAAAGCAAGACTCCGTCTCAAAAAAAAAAAAAAAAAAAAAAAGAATAGAAAAAAGAAGAAGAAGAAGAAGAAGAGGGAATTAGGTCACAGATGGGAACAGAGGGAAGACCATATGAAGACCCAGGAGAAGACCAGCTGACCACAAGCCAAGAAGAGAGGCCTTGGAAGAGGCCAACCCTGCTGATATCCTCTCCTCTTCTCTAACTTACAGCCTCCATAATTGTGAGGATGCATTTCTCTTATTTCAGTCACCTAGTCTGTGGTACTTTGCTATGGAAGCCCTAGCAAACTAAGACAGCCTCTCACAGCCCCTGCCCTCCTGCTGTCCCATCCCTGAGCCCCCAGCTGTGACCGTCTGTGTCCAGGTTCCTTCCCCACAAGACCAAGGCAACAGGCCTGATCTGACTCATCACTGGGTCCCCAGCATCACAAGCCCAGAACGGGTTGTAACTGTTTGCTGAATGTCCCTCTCTGCAGCAGTCTCTGTCTCCTACTACTTCCCATCCCTGTCCTACTGTCTCCCTGCTATTTATTTTATTGTATTTATTTTTTAAGACAAGAGTCTTGCTCTGTCAGCCAGGCTCGAACGCTGTGGCACAATTATGGCTCACTGCAGCCTCGACCTACTGGGGTCAAGCTATCCTCCTGCCCCAGCCTCCTGAGTAGCTGGGACCACAGGTGTGCACCACCACATCCAGTTAATTTAAAAAAAATTTTTTTTTTTTGTAGAGATGGGTCTCTTTATGTTGTCCAGACTGGTCTCAGACTCCTGGGCTCAAATGATCTTCCTGCCATGTCCTCCCAAAGTGCTGGGGATTACAGGTGTGAGGCACCAAGCCTGCACTCTGCCACTTAAAACATTTCCTGAGGCCTTGGCATGGGCTGTTCCCTCTGCCTGGAACACTGTTCCCCAATCTGTCTACATGGTGACCCCCAACTCATCCTTCAGAACCCAGCATAAGCTCTGTTTTCTTTTCTTTCTTTCTTTCTTTCTTTTTTTTTTTTTTTTTGAGATAGAGTCTCACTATGCTCCCCAGGCTGAAGTGCAGTGGTGTGATCTCGGCTCACTGCAAGCTCTGGAAGTCTCCCGGGTTCAAGCAGTTCCCTGCCTCAGCCTCCCAAGTAGCTGGGATTACAAGTGTGTGCCACTATGACCAGCTAATTTGTGTATATTTAGTAGAGAAGGGGTTTCACTGTGTTAGCCAGGATGGTCTCAATCTCCTGACCTCATGATCCGCCCGCCTCAGCCTCCCAAAGTGCTGGGATTACAGGCGTGAGCCATTGCGCCCGGCCACAAGCTCTGTTTTCTATGAAACAACCACCTTGATGCCTCCAGCTCCCAGCCAGGTCTCTCTCCAGCTCCCCCTACCCTAGCACCTCCCCTTGTCACTGTCTTAGACGCTGACTATAGCTAGCCGGGCCCCAGTATGTCTCCCCTATCAGACCGGGAATTTTTCAAGGGCAGGTCTGATCTCAGCTTCTTAAACACTGCCCAGCAGAAGACATGTGGATCAGTGGCCCCAAGGTCCTGATCTCCCTCCCCCAGGCCTTTGCCTCTGCTCCTCTCCCATTTGGTTGACCCTTTCCTTCTCTACTGGCAAACTCTTGCTCCTCTTGAAGGTCCAGCTCACATGTCACCTCCTCTGTGAAGTACTCCCTGATTCCCCAGATGGTCAGTGTCTGTCTCCTCTGGGCTTCACTGCCCCTGTACTGTTCTCCATCACATCCTGATCATCCCGGGCAGAGACCTCCACCCCAACTGTCGGCTCCACAGGAGCCCAGGCTGGAGTCATTGCTGCACAGGCCTAGGAGTATGTCTTTGGAATGAATGAATGCATTAAAGAATCCCCTAACTGACCAGGGCCCAATCCTGTCTAAAACAAACCCCTATTGCTACTGTCACCCAACATCCCCAAGAAATCTTAACTTAAATCTTTAAGGTAAGATTTCCTCTGCAGGGACAGTGGCTGGAAAGACAAGAATGGTTTGAGGGAAAATTTTTCACCATTCTGTTACCCTTATTCTCCCTAAATTCTTCCAACCACTCCTACATATCCCTGCATACCCCCTGCCCTACACTTGGCTGGGCCACAACAAAATGGCCAACTGCTACCCTTTGTCCTTTCTCTTTCCACCTCCCCTATCAGAGCTCAATCTGAGAGAAGGGTCAGATTATTTCCACTAGAAATGAACAGGGAGCTCCATTTCCACCGTGGACTAAAAGCCAAATGATGCCTTAACAGGGGCTCCAGGGCACCAGCAACCATGGACTTGGAGGGTCCGTCAAATGGCTCAGCTTTAGCCTCAGCCCAGGCAGAGAAGCCCATTGCCTGTCACTCAACTCTACAGAAATATTGATGCCTGTTCCCACCCTAGACTCTCTGATTTCAGTGGTACAGGGTGTGACTTGGGCATCCAGATATTTAAAAGTCCCTCCAGGTGATTCTTTTTTTAGACAGAGTCTCACTGTTGCCCAGGCTGGAGTGCAATGGTATGATCTCGGCTCACTGCAACCTCTGCCTCCTGGGTTCAAGCGATTCTCTTGCCTCAGCCTCCTGAGTAGCTGCAATTACAGGCATGCACCACCATGCCTGGCTAATTTTTGTATTTTTAGTAGAGACAGAGTTTCGCCATGTTGGGCAGGCTGGTCTCGAACTCCTGACCTCAAGTGATCCGCCCACCTCGGCCTCCCAAACTGCTGGGATTACAGGCATAAGCCCCCTCCAGGTGATTCTAATGTGCTCCATCCCCTGGCACCTTCAGAAGCTTCTCTTAAAGCCTCATTCACACATAAAAAATTGGTTGGTTATGTATGGCCATTCCAACCCCTCATCATAGGTAATGTGTAATATTTTAAGGGAACTGGAAGAGAAAAAGCAATGCATAGCCCTACTAGGTCCCTTGGAGCCATGTTGCCCCTTGAATCCCACCTTCCTCAGGTCAGAGCCCCCCACCCTCCACAACTAGGCCTGCCCAGCCCTGAGCTCACACTCGCTTGCCCGACTGCCCCAGGCCTAGGACTCTGGGTCCTCTCTGCCCTCCCACTCCTCCCTCCCCGGACTTTCACTTCTCCTCTGCATTTCCCCCCGCCAGTTTTAGCAGACTTAGACCAGCTTCTCGTTAGCACTTACCGAAAATGGGGCTAAATATAGAGGACCCAAGGACTGCCCCTCACCCCTCCTGGCCCCACTTGTCCTGTCCCCTGGGTCCCCTGCCTCCGCAGCCTGCTTCAATTAAGGGTACGGCCTGGGAGCCCCTGTGGGCAGGTTGATGCTGCCGGGAACCTCTGTGGGCCCAGCTGGCCGAGTCCCCGTCCTCCCCAGAAGCAGCACCTCACCCCTCCCCACCCCACAGCTGTCCCTGGGTGGCCTCAAGGGAGTGAACATTTCTGAGCTGTCAGGAGGGAGGGATGGAGATACGGGCAGCAGACACAACAAGAGAGGTGGCCCCACAGCTGCGCTGACAGCAGGCAAGAGCTGCCAACAGTACACACCCCATGGCCACAGCCAGGCAAGGCCCTGGCCAACACACTACAAGAAACAGATGTGCACAGATTCCAGACAGGAATGTGAACAGGTTTGCAGATACGACACATGCCCATACATGATGCCACGGGCATATATGCAAAACACACACCCAGATGTGTGTACACACATGCACTTACACACACTGTCACACTGAGTGACACACAGCCAGCCAGACACACACAAGAAGTACACAAAACTCACACACTCGGAGTCGAATACAGATAGACACACAGACACCCCCCCTACATACTATACCCAGTCACTCATAGACTCAGACATGTGTACACACACATGTACTTACACACATGTACTTACACACGTTCTCACAGCAAGTCACACCAGTCCAGCCAGAGGTACACACCCAGACATGCACATGTTCACACAGAGTCACACATGCGCACACACACAAGTGCACACACATACACCCAGAGTCACCTCATCCTGGAAGATGGCCAGGGCTGACCTCTGAACCCAGTTCACAGGTGTGGAGTCTGAGAACAGGCAGGGTGAATGATCTGCCCACAGTCACATAGTGTATTAATTCATGTCCAGGCAGGGAAAATCTACCCCAGTCTTCCCAGGCAGGGCTGTTCTGTGAGAAATCCCAAGTAAAGGGTTTAGCCTACTGCTCAGCACCTCTGAGGTCCCCATTTAACCCCAGAGAGGAATGAGTCAGTGGGAGCAGACACCCAGGATCTCTGTGTCTACACGGTATGGACACACATACATACACACAGTTGCATACACAGTCACCTCAACAAATAAACACGTCACCCTGCAAATAGTCTTATTTTCATCCCACCCCCCTCCTCACCGCCTTTGCTTGCTCATACCCACTCATCCTTCATATCCCTGCTCAGACACCCTCTTCCTCCAGGAAGCTCTCCTTGATACTCCACCAACTAAATCACATGTTTTCAGGGCTCCTACAATCCCCTAATACCTCCCTGTCCTGGCCCGATCCCTCTACCTATGTTCCCCTATCCTGGCCCTGACCCCTCTGTGTGGGCCTCCCCCATACCAACCTCAACCCCTCTACTGACATCCCCCCATCCCAGCCCTGATCCCTCTGCCTGAGCCTCCCCCACCCCAGTCCTGACCCCTCTACCTGGGCCTCCCCCACCCCAGCACCAACCCCTCTGCCTGGGCCTCCCTCAACCCAGCCCCAACCCCTCTGTCTTTGTCCCCCCATCCCACCCCTGACCCCTCTGCCTCTGCCCCCCACCCCAGCCCTGATCCTTCTGCCTGGGCCTCCCCAACCCCAGCCCTGACCCCTCTGTCTGGACCTCCCCGATCCCAGCCCTGACCTCTCTGCCTGGACCTCCCCCATCCCAGCCCTGACCTGTCTGTGTTGTCATTGGTGACAGGTCTGTCTTCTCCAATAAACTGGGAGCTCCAGGCGAACAGACCTGAGCTACCCTTTCCACTGTATTTCCAACACCCAAGACAGAACTGCTCAACAGATACATGTTGGTGGAGGACACGGGGATGCCCGCACACAATGGCACATATAGGACAGCACATACCACCAAACCAAGACTCACGCCCATGGTCATGCCTACACAGCCACAAATGAAACAGGCATGTAGGGCTGAGTGCTTGCCATGTTCCAGGCACTGTGCTAAGCATGCTACATGTATTATCTCATTTAAGACTCCCATCAACACTGCTGAGTGACAGCCATCACCACCTTGTACCGTGCCTGGCGCGCAATATTCACTCAGTCAACTGACATTTGGTGGAGAAGGCATTTAATAAGCACACAAACAAACACATAATGAAATTCCCAACAGTGATAAGTGCTGTGAAGAAAAGATAAAGCAGGGTGAGGGAACTGAGAGTGACAGGTCAGTGCCAATTTAGATGGGGAGGTCAGGGAAGGCTGCCCTGAGGAGGTGACGTCTGAGGTGAATGAGGTGAAGAAGTGAGACAGGCGATCATCACCCTACAATGCCACACACAACAGCCTCCTACACTCACAAGCACAGAGCAGTCCCACTCAGAGCACTCAGAACTACTGCACACACACATGCACACGCACACCCGTACCAGATGTGCACACACACACTCAAAAGGGAATGACATCCCCCAAGTCCAGCAACTTGGCATTCCAATCCCTTTGCAGCCCTTATCCAAGGATCGCCCATGTCACCCACCCCACTGGTTCTCCACATGAGGGCCCGCTACCAACACCCAGCTCCCTCCCTCCTGTCCCCAGACCCTTCCGAACAGGGCAACAGAGAAGAGAAGAGGTTGGAAGTTCCAGTGCCTGATGTGGAACGGGAGGGCAAAGAGGAGCTGTGGGGGTTGGAGGAGACCCGGCATGGGAGAGAGGGAGTTGCTAGAGTACAGAGAAGGACAATGGAGACAGCTGAGGAGGAGGGGCAGGGAGGGCCCACAGAGCAAACCTAAATGTGCTGCCCGTCCTCTGAGCAGTGGCGCAGGCACCAGCCCCCTTACCTGGAGCCCCCATGCTGGAGTGAACCATGCTGCCCGCCCCGCCAGGGCTGGGGGAACAACTGTGTCATCTCCCCACCCTCTCTGGGGGCCGAGCCCTCCCTGCCGGAAGTCACTCAGGGAGGAAACCACAGGGCCGGTCCGCCCCCTTCGGAAGGGAAAATACCCTGGCCCACAGACCCGCCCCGGCAGCCTGGCCCACCCCAAATCATGTGTGTGTGTTGGGGGGTGGGGGCTAGTGGGGCAGAGGATAAGCAGGCTAGAAGAGCCGACTCCTACAGCTGCGATCCGGGAGGTGCCTGAAACTGTTGCCCCCTGGCTTCTATCGCCCCCATGGAGGCAAACAAATCTGGGACAGGGAATGGGTCTGGAGGAGACGGTGGGTCCACAATAGTAACAACATTAGAACACTAGCCAGCAGCTCATTGGAGACAGGGCTTTGCCGATGCCTGACCCTGTGCCTCACTTTTGACAGGTGCTATCTCCAATGAGGTGGTCACTGTTATTTGCTCCATTTTACAGATGAAAAGACTGAGGATCAGAGAAGTGAGCAGTAGCTTTCCCAAGGGCCCAGAGCCAAGAGCGTTGAAGCTTAAAAGCACCCCACGGCAGGGAAGATCAAGCAAGCCCTGCGCCTATCTGCAGGTGAGCTGTTGGGTGTCACCATTGGGAGGAAGTGGTGCCCGTGGGCAGTGGTAGTGGGAACCGTGGGTAGGGGACTTGGCCTGGAGCTACAATAAATCGCCGGCCAAATGCGGGCGCCCGAGGCGGCTCCGGTGGAGGGGAGCACTTCGTCCCCGGGCTGCCAGCTGGCTCTTCGCGCGGCAGTGCTCCCAGGTCAGCGCTTCCCTCCGAGCCCGCCAGAGGGCGGCAGCGCCCAGCCAATGGCCCGGAGGGCGGGGCCGGCTGCGGAGGAGGGAACCCCTCCCTCCACTCCCCTCCTCAACACCCCCCCAACACCCCCGCGCGCACACCTGCGAGGGTCACACAAAGGCGCAGGACTCCCAGCGCACCGCAGCTCAGACAAAGGCGCGCCCGAGTCCGCTGCCCTCATCCTCCTCTTGGTCCTGAGGTCTGAGGCTGTGGGGCTGCCTGGCGTCTCCAGACACCCCACCTGCCCACCTGGGCTCCGCAAGACATGCTGCGACCTGTGGCTGGGGGGGCCCCTAAACCACAGGTGCATGCACAGACGCCTAGACTCACCCACCCACACACAAATATTTCTACAGATGGACCACAGCACTTCACACACACACACGTACACACACAGATGTGCATGAACACATCTATGTGCACAGGCCCTAACACCAGCCCTCCCTGCTGACGATGGTCACTCCCATATACTGATGCCCACTCTACTCCCTCACATGGACCCATGGGCACAAGGGCACTTCTACACATATATGCCCAGGCATGCTTCCTGGCCACTCGCACCCACTCACACACAGGCACACTCGGAAAGGGCATACTACAGGCAGAACTACAGGAGTGCCCTTCCCTGACTGCACACGTGCCCTGTGCACCCAGACACGCCCAGGCAGGCAGGTGGGCACAACAGGAAGGACTGGCAGTTCTCATATATGCACACGAGAGGGGACTGTTTCCAGGCATCTACACTCCACAACATCCCGTATTGTAAAGGCCATTTCACAGAGGAGATCCACAGACCACACAGAAACTGGCCACAGGATTTCTATACATGAGGGTCTTCCCGACAGCAGCCTAATGGCGGTGGGTACTGGAGCCTTGTCTCAAAGCGACATTTACGCAGTAAGCTTTGTTTTCAGTTAGGATTTGTTTTGGGGGGCTTAGAAATGGGGCTATAGGACATTGTGGGGGGGGCGGGCAAAACCTCACCAGCCACCCCTATGCTCCACCCTGGACAGATTCAACATCATCCATGTCAGGAGCACGGTTTTGGACGTGACCCCATTCCAGCCCCCTAGAGCCGGCAGAGAAGGACCACCCACTTCCAGTACGGCCAGGTCTGCAGTTCAGTCCTGGAGCCGGGGAAGGTTGTATACGCTCCCTGAAAGATGAAACAACCCCATACCTCTCGCCTCCTATGCTGGCTCCATTCTCAGTGCCTCAGACCAGAGCTGGGCCTGGTGAGGGCATCCTGCAGGAGGATGGGCCTGCCTGAGAGAGGATAGAGGGACGGAGTTTGGAACACAGTGGGTGGGTACAACCTGGCAGCCAGAACAGGGAGACTCAGGCAGGGGGAGATGGTGGCCTCGTTGCCACAGAAGAGGCCTCGAGCCATGCTGAGCGAGGCAGGTAGGGCATGGGAGCTGGGAAGCAGTGGGGGCCACTTGAGGTGCAGGGAGCTAGGAGGGAGGCAGCACAGGGGAGGCCAGGCTGGGCTCAGGGCTGAGCGGTAATTAAAGGAGACGTAGGGGGCTCCCCAGGGCCAGCGGGGCTGGTAACTGACACGCGGGCCCCATTGCTCCGCTCATATTTCTCGCTGGATCGATACGTTTGACTCCCGACAAGACAATAATCGCTTGTACGCGGCCGGCGAGTCGATCAAATACATTATTAGAGCGAGGTCCCCCGGGGGCCCGGCGGGGAGTGGTGAGGGGGAGCAGCCAGCCCACCGGGGACAGCAGAGCGAGATTCTTCACCCCTCAGGGCCCCCCAGCCATGGCCTCTTCCTCTTGGCCACCCCTGGGGATCCTCTCTGTGGCTCAGTTCCCCAGCCTCTCTCTAAATGCCTACTGCTTTGGCGATCTCTCTACTCAGCCCCCAGCATCATCCTTGCTCTGTGAGGGGACCCAAGGGTTCTTTTCCCATAGGCACTGCCCTCATCTGTAAGGCTATATAGCATGTGGGAGCTCAGAGAGGCCCCTCAGACCCCTAGCTTGTCAGGAGACAGAGAGACCAAGCCTCAGGCCACACTCCGAGTCCATGACTGGGCCAGGAGATGAACTTGGGCCCAAGACTCAATGACACCCACCTCCCTCTGCCCAGTCTCCTTGCTGCATCTAAGCACACAGGGCTTCAGCAGCACCCAGGCCAGGGGCAACCTCTGGGGGTTAGGGAAAGCTAACTTAGAGACCCAAACAAGCAGGAAAACAGGATGACAGGGGTGGCAGACAAACACATACACAAAGAGATGTGTGTCTGCTCCTGCTGCAGGGCCATGTGGTCCCCTAGTGGGCCTCAGATACCCTCAAACCATGCCCAGCTTCAGCTCTGACCCACCCTAGACACTGCTTGCCACTCTTGCCCACTTTCCTGGCTTCTGGACTCAAGCCTATTTCCCTTTTTAAAAAAAATCAAATTAAGCTTTAGCTTAAAACTCGGGGTTTTTTTTTTTCTCTTTTTTTTTTTTCTTTTTTTTTTTTTTTGAGACAGAGTCTCACTCTGTTGCCCAGGCTAGAGTGCAATGGCACGATCCCAGATCACTGCAACCTCCATCTCCTGGGTTCAAGCAAGTCTCATGCCTCCTCAGCCTCCCGAGTAGCCGGGATTACATGTGCGCACCACTAGGCCAAGCTAATTTTTGTATTCTTAGGAGAGATGGGGTTTTACCACATTGGCCAAACTGGTCTCAAACTCCTGAGATCATGTGATCCACCCACCTCGGCCTCCCAAAGTGGTGGGATTACAGACATGAGCCACCACACCCAGCCTCAAGCCTATTTTCTGTTTACACACCTGCTTTGCCCTCTAGACCTGAAGAGCCCCTTTGCTTCTCCGGCAGCCCTAAGTCAAAGTCAAGTTCTGTTTAGGAATATCCAGCATTCTGAGACTTAAAATATATCTTCCTCTTTGTCTTCGTTATGAGCAGCAGCCACCACAGCATTGCTGTCTATGCTTTCCTTTTTTTTTTTTTTTTTTTTTTTAAGACTGTCTGGCTCTGTCACCCAGGCTGGGGCTGGAGTGCAGTGGCACAATCTCGGCTCACTGCAACCTCTGCCTCCCAGGCTCATGCCATCCTCCCACCTCAGCCTCCCAGATAGCTGGGACCACAGGCGTGCACCACCACAGCCAGCTAGTTTTATACATTTAGTAGAGACATGGTTTTGCCATGTTGCCCAGGCTGGTCTCGGAACTCCTGGGCTCAAAGCCATCCACCCGCCTCAGCCTCCCAAAGTGCCAAGATTATAGTCATGAGCCACTGCGTCCGGCCTACTTTGTGCTATTTGAACCAATACATTACTTCTAAGTCTTTATGACAGTCTGAGGAGGTAAGGTCTGCTATCATCCTCATTTTACTAACAAATTGAGCCTCAGAAAGGTGGATTCTCCTGCCCCAAATCACACAGTGTGAGTGGTGGAGTCACGATTTAAGCCTAGGTCTGTTTCCCTGACAGCTTGATCACTTTGTACTGAGCCATGGAGCTCCTTCTTGGAGGCGTGAAATGCTCCCCATCCTTCAGGAGACAACCGTAACAGTCAGCCACTCCTTGTCCAGTCAGCAATGCTGGAATACCTCTGCAGCTCACAGCCCAATGCCCACAGCCTTCAAGTCAGTTTCTTGATATTTGGTAATCCTGATCCCATCAGCTCCTGGCTGAAGGTGGGCCAACCCTTCCCCATTTCCTTCAGTTCAAACATTTCCTCATATCCCTCAGTGCCAAGCCCCGTGCCAGGAGCTGAGGACCCAGAGGTGAGCTAGATCTAAAATCTGACCTCAAGGAGCTAACAGTCTGAGAGGAAGACTGGAGTGGATAAAAATACCTTGGTAATTTATCACTCAATAAGTATCCAATAAATGCTATTATGTGCTAAGCCATTGCTAAGCTCAGAGAATACAGTGGTTAAAAGCACCCCATAGAGCTTATAGACTTTGGGGGATAAACAATTTTTAAAAGTTATCAACTAGCCAGGCGTGGTGGCATATCCCTGTAGTCCCAGTTCCTGTGGAGGGTAAAGCAAGAGGATCACTTGAGCCCAGGAGTTCAAGGCTGCAATGAGCTATGATGGCGCCACTGCACTCCACCCTGGGTGACAGAGCAAGACCCAATCTCTAAAATAAATAAATAAACAAATCAAATAAAAAATAAAAAGCCATCAAATAAATATGTAATTCTAAGTTAGGAAAAGTGATTTCTAGAATAGGTAGAGAAGGGCCTGGGCATGGTGGCTCACACCTGTAATCCTGGCGCTTTGAGAGGCTGAGGTGGAAGAGTTGCTTGACACCAAGGGTTTCGGACCAGTCTGGACAAACATATCGAGACCCCATCTCTACAAAAAAAAATTTTTTTTTTTTTTTTTTTTTTGAGAGGGAGTCTGAGTCTGGCTCTGTGGCCCAGGCTGGAGTGCAGTGGCCGGATCTCAGCTCACTGCAAGCTCTGCCTCCCGGGTTTACGCCATTCTCCTGCCTCAGCCTCCCGAGTAGCTGGGACTACAGGCGCCCGCCACCTCGCCCGGCTAGTTTTTTTGTATTTTTTAGTAGAGACGGGGTTTCACCATGTTAGCCAGGCTGGTCTCGATCTCCTGACCTCGTGATCCGCCCGTCTCGACCTCCCAAAGTGCTGGGATTACAGGCTTGAGCCACCGCGCCCGGCCAAAAAAATTGTTTTAACTTAGCTGGGTGTGGTGGTATGCATCTGTAGTCCCAGCTACTCGAGAGGCTGAGGTGGGAAGATGGTTTGAGGTCAAGGCTGCAGTGAGCTACGATCATGCCACTGCACTCCAGCCTGGGTGACAGAGAGAGACCCTGACTCTTAAAAAAAAGTAGGAGGAGGATACCTGATGTAAACAAAGGGTGGCATGTTGCAGAAAACTGTCCCAAGGAAGTGACATTTACATAGCAAT